GCAAGCCGACTCGACGGGGCTTACTCCGAGTCCCGTGGTACAAGGTTTGAACCCGGCGTTCAGGCCCTCGCAACTGCCTTGTCCGCAAGCAGGTCGATCGGGGCACCGCTGTGTGTACCGCGACGACCCCTTTATAGCGCGTACGGTTTTGATCTTTATCGACAGATTGCCGTTGCTGCCGGTGCCTCTCTCGTATCAAGCCCCGAGCCGGCTAAATACGTGCACGTGCTTCGCTCGACGGGTGGTCTGGCCCCTCTAGTTCGAGCTTTCGGTCTAGGCAAGAATTTGTTCATAGGGAGTATAATATAAAATCAACATTAACTAATGCTGAGATATATAATGCAAAAACAATTGGGGAGACAGATAATTTTGAGCTTTTTTTAAAACAAATAAATGTATTAGGTTTTGGATTTGTAAAAAGCAAAACAATAAAATATGATGGTAATTATTATTTGTATTTGAAATTACAAACAAGTATAGTGTTGTAAAGAATACTTTTAAAAATTATTTAAATAAATCCTCAAATAAATTTTTTTTTCAAGTATTTTTACCTAATCTAAACCTCTATTTTACAATACTTTTGGTTTTTAAAGTAGGTTTGTAATTAATAATATTTAATTTTTTTATTAAATAAATATTTATTGAATTTTAAAAACATAATTATTTAATAAAAACTAATTTATTTATTTATTTAATATTTAAAGTTCATCGACAATATAAATATATAATTATATACAATAACATATAATATTAATTTATTGAGCAGTTTATACAAAAAATTTAAGTCCACTGTTTTTATCCTTATTTCCAAAGTAACTAAGTTTAAAAATTTAAATATACCTATACTTATTTAAATAAACTTATAGAGGAAGCTTTTAAGTACAGATTCACCTTAGAACGTGGAGAAATTCTCATTAAGTTTATGAGTTGTCCATTCATCATAAAAGATCATATTATTATGAATGTGTTAATGGGCCAGAGAAAAAACCAAAAGACAATTATTTAACTGTAAGTAGAGATAAAATAATATTGACAATATCAGATATCATACATTGAATCATTGAGTAAAGAAGATAATAAAAGGGTATTATTTATATTTTTAGAATGATCATCCTACAGATACAAAAAAAAAGTTTCATTTACAAAGTACAAAAAAATATAATTGTACAGCAGTTTTGACAAGAATACAACTAATGTATTTCCCCGAATATGTAATAACAGAGTGTTCACTGACTAAATGGAGACTTAAAAAACAGGTAATATAAGTTTTTTAAATTGGAATTTGATATTAAAAGTGGTGTAAATAATGGAGTTGAATCTGAAAATAAATAATTAAAACATTATAAATTTTTTTAAATTTTAGATACTGAATTGTTTAAAAAAGGATATTGAAATGGGAAAACAAATTGTTACAAAAAATAAATATCTAATAAATGTTTCCTTACCGTCAGTACACAACCACGTAATAGAAACTTCTCTTTTAAATCTCCCAATAGATAAATCTGTTTGTAATGAAATATCAAGGTTGGTAAATAATGGATTTTCAAATGTAAAAATTGTTGAGTCAATGTTGAAAGATTTTGTTGAACGTTCTCATTTAAAACCATCAATTTTGTCACGAGCATTTTACCCAGATGAACGAACAATAAGAAATTTTATTATAAAATTCACATATTAAAAACATCAAAGCAAAATTGATCAAAATGCTCTTCAAATTAAAATTGAACAATGGAAAATATCTGAACCAACAGATAATTTTTATTTTCGACCATTTAGTGAAGAGGATGGAATTATAAAACAATTACTTTTTTGTCAACAAACAGAATGGCAAAGACACTTACTTAATCGATATGGTAATGTATGTTTTCTTGACGCAACATACAAAACTACAAAATATGCACTTCCATTATTCCTCCTTGTTGTAAAAACCAACATTAACTATTCTGTTGTTGCTTCATTTTTTGTCCAATGTGAAGATTTTTGGTCATCGATTTTCACCAAAATTGTATCATAGAATATTATCTGATGGGACTGTAACAAGACGAAAATGGTTATCATATTCTAAGTCAACTGAAAGTTTGTATTAAATGTATACTTTTTCCTGGAAAGGGTAAAAATGCTCCTAATAAAGCTTGGGTTATTGATGGTTATAAAAATTGGAGTACTTGTACTAACAAAATAGAAAATCATGAAAAAACTTCAGCACATATTTACTCTTCACTCACGCTTAAAATTCGACAATCATCTTTACCATTGGTACCATCTATAGCTACTAAAAAAAATGAAGAAGTTTTCGTGAATAGAGAAATTATCAAAGAGTTGATTGACATATCTCTATTTTAGGAAGACACAATATGGCTTTTAGAGGGCATAGGGAAAACTGGCAAAATAATAAGTGTGGCAATTTCAAAGATTTATGTTCTTTAATAACAAAATTTTCCCCTGCAATGGCGACTTATTTCAGTTCTCAAAAGCAAAAATATAAAATTAGCATCTGAACTAGTACTTAAATATTTAGTAAAATAGTATGTAAACTGCTTGGTTTAATATTCAAAATAAGATTTTGAAGATGCAAAAAAAAAAAATCATTTTGACCACTTTTAGGAGTATTGTGGAATAGGGTCGATATCATGTATTTTTAAAAGCGGCGGGTTTCCCGCCATTTAATTGTGACGTCACTCCGCATGTTCTATATCACCCGTGCGTCATGCGGTCATGCATTCGCGCTCAATATTGTTATTTGTAGACTGTTGTTTTCATGATTCATCAACATCTCCGACTTTGAATGTGCTTTAATTTAAACACTTTATTTTTTAACAATTTAATTTTTGTCATTTGATATTTATTTTAATAATTTTACACAATGGAAACAAACAAACTTAAAAATAGCGTTTATAAATACTGCTTTGTTCCACTTTGTAAAAACACAAGTGTAAGTACACCAGATAAAATATTCTTAAATGTGCCCGAATCCAAAAAATTGAGAAGAAACTGGTTGAAAGCTGCAAGACGTGACAAGAAGGATGTTTCTGATAAATCACACTTATCTTGCTGTGAAGATCATTTTGATGTATGTAAAAATATGTTAAGTATAAATTAATATTTTTATATAGATTAAAAGAATATGTAAAGTCAATTTTTAAGTATCTCCTAGATAAGTTTTATTTCTTGGCCATAATAAGGCTCTAAAATTGTATTAACAATTTTTAATTTAAATACTTCATAGAACAATATTTAATTATGTTTATCAAAAATAAATATAAATTAATAGAATTTATTTTTAAGTGTCAAAGTAAATGAGTGGATTGTTTTGCTTTTTTCAGATTGAAAATGATCTTGAAAATTATGTTCAATTTAAGTTAATGGGACTAAAAAGACTTATATTGAAAAAAGATGTCATTCCACATAAATTTGAATGTCAGTTGGATCGAAAAAGATCTTCTACTGTCTTAAATCGTCCATTATTTTTAAAAAAGAAAAGAAAATTAGATGTGGAAAATGCAGTTAAAGAATATAGTTTAAATAAAAGTGAAGTTTTATAATTTTAACTAATTGTATACATTTTAGATTCAAATTGGAAACTTTTACAATAATTTATTGTTAATTATAGGTGGTAATATCTCTGAAGACATCTGTATTGATGATCAAAATAATACAATTGATTTAAAGCAAAAAGAATGTATGATGGATATTGTAAAAACTAGTGATGTTGGTGTACAAGTCAATATAAATAATTTAAGAAAAACAAGATCCAAAAAAATCCAATGCAAATTATCAGAGAATTCAACTAAGTTTAAAACAGTAGCTTCTTCACCTATTAAAGTAAACTCTTTAGAATCTTGTAATACTAAAAATTTATATGTAAAAGAAAACTATTGTTCAATCTCAGAATCTAGTGATAACAGTTCAGAAATATCAGATACTTTAGCTCTTTCTAGTTCTATCGAAAGTGAAAATTCATTTAACTTAGGTTTTGAATATGCTAATGAACGATTTAAAAAAATGGCTTATGAAGTAACTTTACATAACATTAGTAGTAATCCAAAAGCATATATAGGTCTCAATAAAGAATGGTATAAATGTAATTTAATTAAATTAATAAGTTCTCATATAGAACTTGAAGAGAGAAATATATTTATAACTTTAATGAAAATAAAATTGAACGATTCATTCAGAAGATTAGGAGATATGTTTGGGATATCTGAAAGTTTAGTCTGCAGACTATTTCATAACACTTTACCTAGACTTTCTGTTTTTTTTAAGCAATTTATATACTGGCCTAAAGAAAAATTAATAAAAGAACTTTTACCTATTCCTTTTCGTTATCGTTATTCATCTGTTCAATCTATTATAGATTGTTTAGAAATAGAAGTACCAAAACCATCAGATCCTATTAAACAAGCACTAACATGGTCAGATTATAAAAAATGTAACACATTAAAATATCTTATATCTTCAACTCCAGATGGATTTATTAATTTTATATCGGAAGGTTTTAATGGTAGATGTACTGATGTATTGATAGTAGAAAAAAGTAATTTTTTAAATCTTGTTCCTGAAAATACATCTGTAATGGCAGACCGTGGGTTTAAATGTATTGATGTGTTATTAAATAAAATAAATTGTGTTCTCATAAGGCCCCCTAGTGTTTCACAAAAATCTAAGTCAACAAAAGATGATGTCTTAGAAACTAAACGTATTGCTAGCCTTCGTATTCATATAGAACGTGTAATAGGACGATTAAGAGAATTTGAAACGTTGAAACCCCATGCACTTATTAACTGTCAATTATTATGTAATACTGATGAAATTATAACTATTGCATGTGGGTTAATAAATCTTCAACAACCAATTATAAAACAATAGTATTTAATAGTTTTTTTTTAATATAGATGTATTCTAATTTAAAATCATTGTAATCCTTGTTAATTTTTACAATAAATTATTATATTACAATGTAAAATGCTTTTAATATTTAATTTAATCTGCAATTTTATTACCTAGTATAATTTTGGAAAAATATTTTTTTCCCAAAATGTACAACATTTTTCAATTAAAGTATCACACATTTGTTTATCATAATCAATATTTATAATGGTAACTTTTTTATTCTTTTCAAATTCAGGGTCAGCAATAGCTAGTATTCCTTTCCACACCTCATGTATATGCATTTGAATTTGTATTTGAGATAGTACCTACAACATACATAATTTAATAAAATAATAATAATTAGATAATTATTTACTGGTATATATTTTTAATATAAATAAACCTTTGGCTTTACAACTCCATTATCTACATAATTTAATAATGTAGAATGAGTTGTAGGACATTTTACTTCTAAAACAAAGTCTTCTCCTAGACCATCAGCTGATGCTCCTAATATTGGATAGTTTTTATCAATTAGTAATCCAGTTTTTTTAATTTTATAACCTACAAGTATTTTTACTTGTTTTATAACCTGAAACATAAATAATATTTTTTAGTGTAATGAAAAATAAACAAATTACAGAATACTACTTACATTTTTAAATATTAGACTAACCTGTTCTTCCAAATGTATTCCTCTGTTCATTGCTTTAGATAATTTTATCTTTGAGATCCCCAAAATTTGTTTAACCAGAGTACCATCTGTTGTACTACATTTAGATGCTTCATATACCTTGGATGCAGTAATCCGTCCATATCGCATTTCAAACCAACTATTATTGTTGGATTGATCTTGTGTTCCTCTTTCTATTTTCTGTAATATTCCACTATTTGATTGTATAACACTTTTGATAAAATTAATAAATTCTGAACATTTGACAACTGAATATAAAAAAAATAAAAATTATAAGGTTATATTGTTTTTAACATAATTAACTAACTAGTTAGTTAATAATGGTTTTTATGTGATAAAATTAAATGTTCAAAATCTTAAAATAAATGTGCCTATTACCTGTATTAAGTTGTTGTTGTGTTCTGAAATTCGACATTAATCTATGAATAGATAAATTTGATATTTCACTCAAACAATAGTTGTACTGGCCTAATTGACAATTTATATTATTTTTTCTTCCCAAATCTATTACATCTTCAAAAAATTTTGTAACAATTACTTTATTAGTAGATTGATTTTTTACATTTTTTGGTGGAAATAGGTCTTTAGTGTTCATAAACTTAATACTTGTTCCTATACCAGATAGCTTTGGTTTTTTCCAATAACAATCAACTGACGTTACTGATGACTCTTCACTTTTTCTATGTAAATACATAAGAAATGCTAAGCTATGTTTACATCCACCTAAAAGTTTAATAAGAAAGAATAATTTTAAAAACTAGGTATAATTTTACATAAATATGTACTTTAACCATAATACTTAAAATGTATACTTTTAAATAATTAGGTATAATTAGTATTTATTAATATAAAATATGTTTTTTACCTAATGAAGCTGCACAGTCATCACAATTAACATCCACAATTTTCTCTTCCTCTTCATCCACAGTTAAAGCTACTTTATAGTTTTTCTGTCTTACTCTATGTTCTGGACATATTTGACCTTTAACTAAACAAATATTTCCTTGGCGCAATAGTTTGACATATCCAATAGCTGAATCACCATAGCTTTCTCGTGTTGATCTATATATAATTAAGTAGGTACTTAATTTGAGTTTTGTACAATATTGAAATATAGCCACAAGTAGTAAGGAAGGTATTACCTATTGAAAATGTTATAAGTGTATAGTAAACTTACCTTTGGGCTTTTGATCCTCTAAGCTCAGGATCATTAAAACAATCACTGTTTTTTATATAATCATTAACCATGTATATATTTATTTTGGGTATATTACTAGCACAAGCTTTATCAAACAGTTTAGTTGACATTATAATTTTTAAGATAGAAAATAACTGTTTTATACCATAATGAATTGTTCACAAAAAAATAAAGATTTAATGTTATATAGAAAAACAATATTTTATCACTGCCACACATTAAAACAAAACATCAATAATTATTTTAAACGTTTAATCATCATACGGAATTTCAAGTAGGAATCTATTTTTAAAATCATTGTAATACTAATAGTGTTGACGTGGTGGTGAGTGGTGAGGCTAGCAGGGCCTTTGCTCGTGGCCTCGCAGCTCAAACCATGTACTTTTTTTAATATAAAAGGGCCTCGTAGTATATTTTGCTCAAGGACTCGCAAAAGCTAGCACCGGCCCTGAATACTTACTCATCTAGATTAAGTAACTATTTGTATTTCTATTCGCCATGGTCATTGCGACACTACTCCTAATAAATTAAATATTATTTGTTTTATACCTAATATTATATTATTATAATATATAGGTGTATATTTAAAATACCTACTATAAGTTATGAATAAATAGGTAGTTTAACACATCTACATCTTATATAATAATGCAGTCCATAAACACTAATTTTGTTATTATTAAGGGTTTTTTTTTGTTATGTTATATTATGTAACTAATCAGCCCCATCAAAAAATATTCCTGGATTCGCCACTGAATTTATATGCAGTAGAATAATATTATAATCGTATAAAAGTGACATCCTAGCACCTAACTGGGCTTAGGTTGCTTAAACAAGCAACTTGCTTTGCCGGATTGCCGAGTAAACAACGCCTCGCCGCGGTGCCGCGGCAGTCGTCATGCGGAGTGACGTCACGGAATAGACACGCCTACTTATTCCATACTACAGCCGCCCGCGACATTTCGAAAGCCAGTATATCCATAAAAATCCAAAAAAAAAAAAAAAAAAAAATACCATTCTCTATAATTTTTCACGTAGATTTAGAAAAGTATAGAAAAAAAAAATTGTTCAGATACTAATTAAACAACGTTCTCAATACTCATTTACTTCATGGCACCGACAGAATGCGTTGATTGATATAGTGTCAAATCATATAAAATTAAGTATATCTCTCACTATAAAAAATTCAAAGTTTTTCAGTATTGCCATAGATTCGACATTTGATGTCTCTCACCGAGAACAAATTTCTTTTGTGTTCAGATATGTAGATGAGGAAAAATGTAAAATTAAAGAGAGACTCTTAGCATTGAAGGATACTCCAAAAACTGGCAACGCCTTGTGTGAAATTTTCAAAGAAGTGTGTAAATTAAACAGTTTAGATTGGACTAATAATTTGGTTGGTCAATCTTACGACGGGGCCTTAAATATGAGGGGGCAATATAATGGATTACAACAATTAATACGTAATGAAAATCCTCAAGCAATATTTATCTGGTGTTTCAGTCATCGCTTAAATTTAATTTTCGCTGATGCAGTTAGTGAAATTAGCAGTAAATAGTTAGCAGTAAATTTCGTGCAGACGTATATGAAGAGCAACAAAAAAAAATTATCATGGACAGCAAATTCGTCGATTATAAAGAGTGTCCTGTACTAGATGGATGTCTCATAAATTTGCATTAGATGTTGTACTAAATACTTATGTTGCAATAGTTGAATGTTTAAATGTCATTCCCAATGAATCGGGATTCCCAATGAATCGGGTGACAAAAAAGCTGGTTCAGAAGCTGGAGGTTTTTTAAATTATTTTCAGTCAACAAGATTTGTCTATACAGCTTATAGTTTTAAAGTTCTGCTTCAAATTCTCGAGCCTGTATCAAGTTTGTTACAAAAAACAGATTTTGATTTGTTGGCTGCATCATTTTTAATAAAAAAAAAAATATGAAGAAATTGTTTCATATCGATCAGAGGAATCATTCAAAATTATTTTGGCTGAATCTGAAGCATTTATGGTTTCAATGCAAAATATTGAATTTCAGCCACTTCCAGAAAGTCATGCTAGAAAAAGAAAAATCATGTTCGATTAATAAGCACCAGATGAGACAATCAGTGACCCTATAGTTAATTTTCGTGTAAATACTTATTTTGTTTCTGTTGATCTCATTTTGTCTGAAATAAATAGACGATTTCTTGGCGATAATAATGAAAATGTAGAACAAATATCAATATTTAAAGATTTATCTTTTCTATCAAAAAAACGAATGAAAGAATTAAAAGCAAACCCAACCCAATTACCTAAAGATGCATTTTTAATGGTTTGTACAATTTATAAAAAATATTTAAAACCAGAAGTCATTTGTGATGAATATTTAAATTTCATTCAATGTTTGATGTTTTTCTTAAAAGTGATGAATTGCCAAAATATTTACATAGTGATAATGATATAGCTAAAAATTCAGATTCTGAATTAGAAACGGAAAATTATGATAACGATGTTGATGATGATAGTGATTCTTTAAAAAATGAAATTGAAAATCATGGAAGTTTGTTACCAGTATTCAGGTAAAAAAATCTTGTATTGTTATTTTTTATGTTTTGTTTTAATGTTCTTTTCTTCAATATGTTTACTGAGTTGTTTTAAATTACTTATTTATGTACAACTTTTTTACAGGGTTTTTATGCGCAATGGTCTTCATACACTATTTCTAAATATTTATATTCTGTTGAAGCTGTCTTTGACTTTGCCAGTTGGAAGTGTATCAACTAAAAGAAGTTTTTTAAAGTTGAAACTCGTCAAAACTAGACTACGATCTACAATGGGAAATAATCGATTAGAGGGACTAATGATTACGTCCTGTGAAAATGACATAAACATTAATTATGAAGAAGTTATTGAAAATTTTAGTAAAACTAGTCCATATTTATTTAAAGCTTTACATTAAAAATAAAAAGTGTTAACTGTATAATGTCATTACAAAATCTTATTTTTTTTTTAATTAATTTAAATTTTTGTATTTCATTGAGGATTAAATATGTTATATTTATAATGTATTGTATTAAAATGTAAAGGTAAAATCAGCCGATTTAGGACGTTTCGGGTTTCTGGTGTGGACATCTTAATTATTATTTTAAGTGAATTACACTTACAAATAACAGTTCAATAAAGTAACATTTTGTTTTTAAATAAAAAAAATGAGTGGGTGGGTGGGTTACTTTGGATTGTTGCATGTGCTCTCAAAATACCTCTGTGTGCCACTGATTAATATAATATTGTATATTCGCAATATTTGGTAATACTGGTATTATGTGTTTTCGGGGTAGAGAGGTCGAAGAACATCGTGCTCCTGGGTCTGGTGTTTCTACTCCGAGCAGCATTTCTACGACGAACGTTGTGCAATAGTATAGTATACATCAATAATTTTTATAAATCTTTTTTTTCTGCTTATATATAATTATTTTTTTTTTAATTATATTCGATCGACGTTTTAGAGACCGGTGAGTACAAGATTTATAATTTATGATGATTCTATATAATATCTATATTTTTTTAAATTTATTCGAGGGTTTGGAGACCGCTGTGTACAAGTTTTATCATTTACGATGACGTACTTGAGTATCTTGCGTAAATATTTATTTATATGGCCGTCATGAGTATACGGGTTAAAATCGGCATTTTTAGGCTGCCTTTAATTCGGAAACTCTTGTGTAATTTCATGAAAGCTTTGAATTTTTTTTTTTTCAAAACTTCTTTATGGCGTTCATGACATGATTGTCAGACGTCACCTAATATTTTTCCTTCGTGTTAATTTGTTGTATTCCGTTCTTAATTTTTAAAACAGTTTAGTATACCTACACATCATTCATTTTAATTAATTTTACTTTTAATTTAATATATACTCTGTTCCAAAAGAGAACGGTCACTTTTGCGCATACGACTGATGGCTGCAGCAGTACCAAGGCCAAATTTCTCCCACCTTGCTACACGACGTTTCACGAAGACGTTGCCGAGCTTTTACGATTACCGAAACGCGCGAAAGCCTGCGGCTGCTTTAGCAACTATTAATTACTAATTAGTAAGGCCAAGGCGCACGCACCCGCAGAATCGCGCAGAGCTGCACCCGTGATCGCACGCACTCCACCACGCGGCGCTCGACAATCCGCTTACGGGTAATTGGTGGGAGATGCGCAGCGACCAACGAAAACCGGTCGGCCAAAATGATCGTTCTCTTTTGGAACAGAGTATAATATATAATTTCTAAAAATAACTCATAACATTCGGAATTCCTAGGTTCCTGTATTATCAACGCTGATAACATACCGATAACAACGAATATAATAATGATAATCATACGTTAAACCAAAGTTTACTGTATAGTAATATATTTTACAATGCATTGTATACATGTATTATTTTTTTTTAGTATATATAAATACATACTAAAAAAATTAATTTTTTTACATTTTTACAAGTCCAATATGATCATATTAAACATGTTTTATATTACTAATCAAATCAACAACATCATAAGATATGTTTATGTTCATTCATTTCGTGTTACATATTTACAATGTATGCTATGTGCGCTTTATAGGTCCATAACTATGGTCAGAATTTGTATCATTTGTGAGAACGTCGGTTGTTTTGAAGGAGTTTCTTTGCAAAGGTAATTGTATTGTCATACACGCATGATATATAAATGATATAATGTCACTTTATTATTGTTCCAGCCGTATGTTCTCTGGGTTGATCACCCTGACAAAGAGTTACCTCGACGGCCGAAAGGCCCACTTGGCGATTGGAGACATGACACTCGACGACCTTAACAAAGGGTTGCCCGCAGGGCTCGGAGTTCGGACCGACCTCTGGAGGTACGCGGTCAACCCGCTCTTGTCCGGCGATCTTCCCCCCGGGACAGAGATAGTCGCATACGCGGACAATCTCGCGCTACTCATCTCCGGGAAACACCGTCCGGAGCTCACGGAACGCGCGAACGCGCTGCTAGAAATAGCGTCGAAGTAGTATGTATTTGTATGTTCACAGCACTTTTGGGCAGGGAGATTTTTAAAGTTTAAGGGGGAATATCCCGCTTGAGCTCATTTTCGTCTCCGTGTAACACAAAAACAGTTTATTTATATTGGTTACACTGTAATTTTAATCTTGTGCTCAATTTTTTTTCGTTTAACACAAAAACAGTTTATTGGTCACACTACAATTTTAAATTTAAAGTTTTTTCAAACTTTAAAATTAATAATCTAATCTAGTTCAGTTTAGGTTAGTGTTAAACCATCATTCGATCAAGACCTATTGCTTATTAAAAAGTTCTTTATTTTTTACAAAAATTAATTTTCAAAATTTTAGCAACAATTTTTGTTCACTAGTTTATACACAATATTTATTTTGAATTTATATCGTTTTGGCGCGTTATGTCTCATCGTTGTCGCGCCAAAGCGTTGCCACCGATGCGACGCGTATAGTTCACCTTTGGACCCAAGATATCGCCGCGACCTAGTTAGCCGTCAGCGCCGATCACCCGCCGCCACCGTTTTTTTTTTTTGTCGTAATTCAACCGTGTCCGAAACAGGTCTACGATCCGGTGTCCTGTCGCCGTTACATCGCCATCTTTGTCGTATTGTTGAGAACCGTTTTTACTCGTCCGAGTTGAGCGCCGCCAAGTACCGTGCCGTGCTCGCGATTTGTGTTCTTTTCGTTGGCTCGCTTGCCACCAAGGCTTTTTGTTTGGCTTGTGCCGTCGCCCGTCCGTGTTTTACGCAGTGTGACCCAAGCCGTGTTGTCTACCCACGTGGTTTCTCGCCCGTCCGTTTTACGCAGTGCGACCCGTACAGTGTACTCCCTTTATTGTCGCTATTCGCGTGTTCCAGTATTTGTTCGTCCATGACGTCGTTTTCCGTCGCGCGAAAACATTAACACGTTGACTGCCACGAGACCGCCGGCGTCCTAACACGAATATGTAATAGTGGAGCCATGGTATAAATAATAGAGCATTACTATAATGTTCGTGTGTGTATTTATAGATAGGAGAGTCCAATTGTAATTTTTATTATAGTGTTATAATCGGAAAGACCTGTATAATGCAAATTTAAAATAAAAATAGTTTGGTCGCCGGCGGTCAACTGGCGTGGTAATAATGTCTTATAACTATGACGCCAGATTGGTCGCCGGCGCCCATAATAAATGTATAAGAAATTATTATTGTTATTAATCGTTTATCGATCGCGACGCGTTCTTGTGCTCGTTTCATATTGTGCGTTCTTAATATTTTTATATTACGCGTATTATTTTTTATTACAATGGATCAACAACAGATCGAAGATGCACTTAGTGATTCAGATTTTTCATTTTCGGATGAAAGTGTTGATGACAGCGATGACGATCTTCTTTTTCAACTATCTGATAGTGATGATGAATTCGATGGTCACGAATCACTTCCAGTACAAATTAATGTGGATAATGATAATAATATATCATCAAACTGGTATCCTGTTACAGGTAATTACCAAAAATATTTTGTTTACGAAAACAATCGCACGTTACCTGAAGAATTACTGGTAAATAATGAACCATATGATTATTTTAAATTATTTCTTACTGACGATATACTTAACTGTATGGTTTTGGAAACTAATAGAAATGCTGAACAGTATCTAAAAAGTATTAGACTTTCGCGAAGTAGTAGATTCCATTCATGGGAACCCATAACATTAGAGGATATGACGAAATGTATTGGATTATTACTTTGGATGGGTGTTGTAAAATATCCGACCATTTCTGATTATTGGAGTAAGGCTGAACGATATGAAAATATTGTAGCTTCGAAAATAATGAGCAGAAATAAATTTGAACTAATATTACGATTCTGGCATTTTGCCGATAATGAAACAAGTGATAGATCCGATCGTTTGTACAAAATAAGGAATATTCTCGATAAAATTAATTTCAATTTTGATCATTTACTTACACCGGGAGAAATCATTGCTGTAGACGAGTCTATGATCCCTTTCAGAGGAAGATTAAAATTTCGGCAATACATTCCGAGCAAACGACATAAGTACGGTGTTAAACTATTTAAAGTATGTGATGTTAACGGTTTTACATTTAAAATAATTATTTATGAAGGAAAACAGTCTATTGCTGGTCAATCGTTAGGTGAAACAATCGTACTGTCGTTATGCGAAAAATATCTAGAAGAAGGTAGAACAGTTGTTACAGATAATTTTTATACTTCTGTTCCACTCGCTAAAAAACTTTTAAAGAAAAAAACACATTTAGTAGGAACACTAAGGAAAAATCGCCGTTACTTACCTAAAGAAGTAATTACAAAAAAAATAAAAAAAGGAGAAATTTTCGGAAAAGAAGACGAAGATGGAATAGTAGTATCTAAATTTAAAGATAAACGAGATATATTTTTACTATCTACACGTCACAAATTAGATATTGTAGACACGGGAAAACAATCTCGGAAAAAAGAAAATATTTTGAAGCCTGATGTCATTTTATTTTACAATTCAGGAAAAGCTGGTATTGATTTATCGGACCAACTCGCATCCTATTCTACTCCAGTCAGAAAAAGTATCCGTTGGTATCATAAAGTCATGACTGAGATATTACTTAATACTAGTGTTATTAATGCTCAAATCATGTATAACATGAAATATTACAACTCAAAAATGAATGTAAAACAATTTCGCGAGTCGTTAATTGATAAAATGCTTAACCTAAGACCTACCAGCCGGAAATTAGCACAAGAAATGTCCACACCTAAAACTACTGGAAATCAGAGAAGATCAGCAGCACCTAAACATAAAATTGAAGAAACAGAAGAGAAGTGTGCAAGAAATAGGAAACTACGAAAACGTTGTACAGAGTGTTATAAAAAAATATCACAAGAAAAAGGATTTAGGTAATAAAATTATTTGTTGCAATTTCAATTTAATTTTCTTCATGAAATAACTTAAAAACTAATAAAAAAATGTATTTGTATGTTTTAGAGAAGCATTAAATAAAACAAAAAAGGTCACTACGTTTTGCAGCACATGTCCATCAAACCCATTCATTTGTTTATCATGTTTTTCTGACCATAAATAATAATAGTTTTTGTAAAATATAGAATAAACTCGAAATACACTTAAAATTAAAAAATAACTTTGTTTTTTTTTTTGACTTATTTGTTTCTCTCTTGTGTACGCCATAGTGTTATTATTAAGTTTTTATCTGTACGCCATCAAAATATAGAATTTATTGAATACTATGAGAGGTTTGAACCGCCGGCAACCTAAGCGGCCCACGAAGAATAATTCAGTTTAGGTCGCCGGCAACCTAAGTGGCTCCACTTTAACACATCCATTTTAGGTCGCCGGCGGGCTCGTGGCAGTCAACGTGTTAAAAACTTGAATGGACGAGACCGTTTCGGCCCATTGCGTCTTATACCGTCAGCATATCGTGCCTTTGAGGAGGGGAGCGCGGTGTATACAAAATAAATCACGGTAAGAAATATAATCGTTACAATAAATATGACAAACATTTACAATAAGTACAATAATTACAAAAAAACATATTAATAAAAATATAGTGCTGATAATACGATTATAGCGTGACATTACATAACACCTAGGTGAAAAAAAAACAATCGCGGGTCGTTTTTAATCGTTATTGTGCACATAGTGAAGGTCGACGATCGAGTCTTCGCTCGTGTCGGTTGATGGACATCCAGACACATCCAGACTGTCTTATGAAGACGTGACTAACCCGGTTTAGGTAGGTACTAGTTAGGCACGAACGTGGTACTTCGGTTGTCGTGATTTGCCCTGGCCTCCTGGGCGTATATCGCAGCTGGCTCATCGTTTGTCGTAAGGAGGCTACTAGCACAGGTCCATGTCGCTAGCACCCCCATTTTGAATTTTGGATTCAAACCCAGAGCGATCGTTTGTGCTTTGTTAGTGCTTTAAACCCCGTCGTTTGTACTTTATCCCTTCCAGAGTTATTCGCAATTCATACAGGGGGGTGCCGGGAACATGCCAGCACCCCTCCCCCAATTTCGAATTTCGACTCCAAACAAACATTAATCGTTTGTGCTTCGTTAGTGCACGTTAGTGCTTTAAGCCCCGTCGTTAGTGCTTTTTCCTTTTCAAAGTTAATCGCATTTCCTACAGGGGGTGCTGAGTATGTATTAATTTGAGTCCAGTCCACAAATTTTTGTCTAAAAATCTTCAATATGATGAGGCAAAGATGATCCTTAGGTACATTCCAGTTAAATATCGTTGTTTTGGGGTTTAATACATTTTGTCTAAGTTTTAAATTTTTACAGTTATTACGTAAAAAAAGAAAATGTATTTTTTTCTAGTTTCAGATTTTTGCTTTATTCCACTAATAGCTTTATAGCTCAAATTAAATTCATTTCTACATATGATTTTATGATACGGAAAAATATCGATAATGTCTATTAAACCAGTGATAGATAAAACTGGAATTCTTCTTGTAAAAATTCTAAATAACTCACCTTAGTACCTTACTAATTATATAACTTAAATAATAATTATTTTGTACATATTTAATACTTATGAAATTAGCATGAGTTACCTATGAAATTTTATGCTTGTTTGAGTAAAGAAAAATAATGCATAACCAATAATACTTATACATACAGATTTTGTAGTTTTTTATAATATTATATACAGGAGATTAAATTAAAATGTGTATACTGAAGTGTAATAACTAATAATCCTTATATTTTTTTTTATTACTTATCTTAAATTTTTGAAAAAAATAAAAATAAAAATTTCAAAATAACTAGTTTTTCAAAATTAATTAATTTATAAATTAAGTTATATTAAATCAATTAATTATTCAGACAATAAAAAATTATTCAAATAATTTTCAAACACAATGCTAATTCAATATACAAATCAGTATATTCGATTTCTTTTTTTTCTAGTTATTTCTTTAGATAGTTCTATATTTATTTCATTTAGAGTGCTTTTCTATTTATTTCAAATACAAAAAGATTTAGAATTGTGAACTTAAAATACAATGCTAACTATTGTTTTTTAATACGTAAACATTTTAATTACAAAAATACCAACTATATGGTCCATATATCAACTAAGATAAAATAACTAAATATTATTTGAATAGTTATTTATAAAAATTAGTTGAGTAATTGTGAAATAATCATTCAAATAATTGTTTATTCGAATAAAATATAATCTAAATAACTATTTAAATAAAATTTTATTTGAATGATGTCCAACTCTGGCAAAATTGAAGTCTTAGAATGGGACTTCCCTAAAATGCAACATAAATTCAGATAACTAGTTGGATACCTAATAAACCTGACAAAGCATTTTATATAAGTACTTTGTGTATTAATCTGTTTCAATTAAGTTTTAATGTTGATATTATAAACATATTTTTTTTTTATTATTATTTTTGGCAAATCAATAGACATTTTTAAAACTATTTGGAAATATATTATAAAGTTGAAAAAAAAATGTAACATAATAGTATTTAGGTATTAACATTCATAAAATAAATCAATAAATTTATTAGATCAACAAAATTTATTAACTTTACTTTAAACTTAATTGATATATTAAAAAAATCTATTAACTTAACTCTTAATTTAATTAAACAAAAAATATTTAACTTAACTGAGTTCAAAAAATCATTAACTTTCTCAGCCTTGTTTTTTTACGATTCATTAAAATGCACACAACCATTTATAATTATTTATTTATTTTTTTTTAATTTTAGAATATTTGTACGTATTTTTTTTTTTTTTTACATGTCTTAAGTGGTATAAAATACATTAAAATTTGAAATATCTAATTATATTAAAGAAAATAAAATTATTTAAATAAATTATAACCTATGAAATAATTTTGAATAATATAAAATATAATGCAGTATACATTTTGTTTTATAATATTTTATTATTATATATAACATATTTTTCTTTGGATAATAATTTATTTTAATTATTTAATAAATATGTAATAATGTATTTAATTATTATTTATCGTTATACTCAATAATTAAAAAAATAAGTTCACATTAATTATTATTCATTAATTATTTTACATAGTTACATTATATCTTCTATCTATACTATATATATATTGTAAGGGTTTTCTTAGACCGCGCCAACGAGAAAACTACTGAACTGATTTGGCTGAAATTTAAATGATAGAGAATGTGGGGAGCGGGTTGTAGCATAAATTATGGACCAACTCCTGTGAAAGAGAGATTTAGTGACAAAACTTAGTTACACCGGTGGCGCTCTAGCAGATAAAAATAAAATATAAATATAATATAAATAATTAGTGACAGGCAAACGTTGTTTTGCTTAAATTTTTAAATTAAGTTGACCCGGCAAACTTAACGCCTTCAAATAAAGCTTAGATTGATAATAAAATTCAAGTATTCTTCATTGTAATGAATTAATATAGAAATCAATATATTGATTTTGATAAACAATGTTTTCGTTTGTTCTAAAAATAAAGAACTAGAAGATGTAGTTTTCCAACAGTGAAACCTGGCAACGTACATGTTCGTGCAGAAAACATGAAATTTAAATTATTCCACAGACTTCCACGCATTCGGCTCTGCGATTTATGATTGTCATCGCAAAAGCCCAATCTATCAGGAATCTGAATCCGCTAAACGATATGAAAGATCTGTTGAATTGGTGAATCTGTGGATAAGGACTTCCTTGAAATTGCCCTTGATGATCAGTTGATTTGTATTAGTATGTTCATCAGTTTTGACTGATAACGTACCAGCAATACGTAACTGAACGAAGTACACCGTA